TAAAAACCGGAGGTGGAAGAGGGTCGCTAAAATTTCGCAGTAATCGGAATTTGGGATAAGAAAAGCCAAGCGTGGCAAGAACAGCTTCGTCTTCTCCTGTAGCTCAACATTGGCGTTTCCTTGTGGGAATAGAGACACACCCAAGCCAAACGCTGGAAGACCGCATCCCTTGCTGTCACTTATTGCGAACGAAATTCGATTTCTACTCTCAGCTACTTCATGAACTTCTCGCAAACATGAAATAAAGTTACAATACCTTTATATGTCCGGCATGGCTTTCAAATTCTGTATGAGTTTGAACGAGAACAGAACTTGAATGAATCAAGCTGTCCATCGTTTGTTCGCTCTGTGCTACTCGATCACCCATCTTAGATAACAGATCCGACAAGCGTTCCGTAGTCTATAATATGCTAATCACGACAAAAAACTATATCAACCTTCAAAAAATATGAATTTAATCACCTTAACAGCATTATCCTTGAGATTTTTCTCATCTATGTTAAATTTCTTGGCATTCGACTCTGATGAGCCTCCTTCGAGTAATGAAGAACGCGCCGATTCATCTACAACAAGGAACATTGGAGCGACATATCACGAGACCCGGGTAGGTAATGGCCGATGTCAGAAGTCTGCGATTGGAGCGATCCGGTCAAATGTGAATCGCGCGATTCATCGCGCGATGGTCGCGCGATTGGCACATTTCCAAATCATGACCAATCGCTCCAATCGCGCGATGGGCGCGATCACTCCCGTTGTGGCAGGGAGCGATCAATGGCGCGCCCCCCTCGATCGATACGTTGACTGCGGAGCTGCTCCCTGCCACAACGGGAGTGATCGCGCCCATCGCGCGATTGGAGCGATTGGTCATGATGGGACTCATGTCAATCGCGCGATCGTCGCGCGAATCGCGCGATGGTCGCGCGATTGGCATTTGACCGATCGCTCCAATCGCAGACTCTGACATCGGCCAATGGGTATCTACAATTGAAACCGATGCAGTGTGTGAGCGTATGTAGGAGATACCCTCGCCTTCAAATGACCAGAAATTGTGCAATTGCAGAAATTGACGTGGCATTAACGTGGCATCGATTCAAGAACATCTTTGAGCACACGTGATGTCACCTTTTCATCGAGAATTTAGCCACGTGTGCCAATGCCACGTCAATTTCTGCAATTGCACAATTTCTGGTCATTTGAAGGCGAGTTATCAAGAAGTCTCTCAACGAGTAAAACGAAAAGAAAAGAGGACAACCACGGGGGGCGTGCGATTCAAAGTGATTGGACGTTCCACATCTGATACACAGCACTATTATGTCCTTTTTCAAACGATCTAATACATAAAACGCTATAATCATCCATCCTCCCTCGAATTGTTTTATCATGAAGAACCAAAGGGCACGTGTTGATCAATTTGGGTAAGTGTCATGGCCTAGAAGAACAGGCACATATCAGCCAACTCGCCTCCCTCGCGTTGCGGCGCGCCAAAGCTGCGGCCGCCACCCCCCCCGGGAAAAGTCACACCACCACAAGATATCAGAACCGCCAGGGCTTGCGAAAAATGGGTAAGATGCAGCGCGAGTTGCTGAGTCGAATTAAGGGAACCAGCCAGCGGTGGGCGGAACGCCCTCTAAATAGGCGGCGCTTGATAAAAAAAATTCACAACTCGGCTAGGAAAAGGAACATGGGGCAGAAAAATCGATATAGGAGAGCAATATCTAAGATCCCGGGAGACGTGAGCTAAGAGGAAACCCGCTCACAATGACGGGGCGTTAAGAGACACTGTCAATATAAAGAATCCTCACAATTCGGTTCTGATAAGCTCCAGAGACCGGGAAAAAGTGGATAGAGGTCAAGAAAGAAGGTAGGTTAAATAATGATGGTGGACGTTGGATACAACCTATGCGGTTGCACCAGTGTATCCTACACACGGACGGGTCGTTCTGGAAATGTTGCCGCAACTTTCGTGATGCTATCTTTACAGGATTCTGATCGAGACTCACTTATGGCCTTCCTCGCTCTGATAGTGGCAGACCTGAGTTGTTGCTGATTTTCGATCAACTCTTTACTATGACGTTCGCTGTTTTCTCGAGCATTCAATTGTTCTCTCCGAGAAGCTAACTGAAAGTGACTCCATCAGTTTGAAGACACAACCTAACTTCTTTAGCGAGAAGTAGGTCTGCTATGTATTTTGAAGGAACCATACCCATGCAAGTCAACGGATGTGCTCATGATTACCTTCCTCTGGAATCTCTTCTACCACACACTCTCCACGTTCGCATAATCATTTCTTCTATCACTTCATCATTTTTTCTATCATTCAATTAGGTTATTTTCTTTCACTGGTGCTTTTCATACGACCACTTATCGGTGGCTTTTTTATTTCATTAGTTAACCATTTTTGCCGGTTACTCTTACCCTCTTGATTACTCTCTTCAATTTCTTCACAACCAACTCAGTGTGTTTTTCCCTTCATCATCCATACATTATCTCGCTACATTTCTTGCGATACCTGTCAACTATGTCACCTCATCTCTATCCATTCGTCTCTGCTTTCACTCACTGTCGCTCTCTATCTACTACGTTCTTTTCATTTATCCTATCACTGTGAATCATGAAGTGCTTTTTATCGAGCTCAACCACAGCATCATGTTTTCACATTCCACTTCGCCCCACCCCCTCCATTCCTACCACCCATCCTATTCTCACTGCATTTTCACTAAAAGATTCGTTAGTACACCTCGCATGCTTGAGAAGCGTCTGCTTGAATCGAAACTCTCCGAAGTATTTTCATGATTGCTGAGGTGACAGATGAACTGTGGCGGGCATGCAGCTCATCACATTTTCTCGCTCCACGTGAAGCCGGCTGTGCAGTGTCAGTAACCACCTTTCCGGAGTTCGGAACGCCAAATTTAGCGTTTAGCTGAGGTGCTGCACAGATCAGACATGTATTCTGCCCTGCTGGCGTTCCGCTGCCACAGATTTATAGATGTGGTACGGTATGCACACCAATCGAGCTAAACGAAACATGTATTGCTACAGGATGGCGTCGCGGTGTGAGCTGTTGTTTCATAAGCCGTGAAACCTAGGGTTGATTCGCTAGGATAGAGAGCGGCTTTTTTCGGCTTTTCGATGCGCGAAACATTTTCGCTGGAGGAATCCCAGGCCCACTTAGAATCAGAGGTGGACCTAGGATTGCCGCAGCGGAAAACGTTTGCGCTGCGAAGCTAAAACCTCGACCCATCAAATCTTGGGAGAGAAATAAACAGAATGACAGGACACATACTTTTGATGCGAGAGCTTTCAGCATGTCTATCTTGCTTCCTAATGTCGCCAAAAGTTCTTTGGCCTCACGCGTTTCTTCATGTAGTCTTCGCTCATCTTTCACGTTTGTCCTAAATATCGAACCCATTAGTTGGCAAGATATTCAGCAAATCTGATTGAAATTCCAAAAAAATCTTCAAAACTCCGCTATAGAATATTGATACAGGAAGCTTCTTTCAAGAAAATTCCGGAAGATGAAAAAAATAAAACATGGCTCAAAAGTCGTAAGTTTATAATAAGTAGCAGTGAGCATTCCGCGCAGTGATCGGAATGATCGCTGACTGCACGATTGCATCTATCTGCTGTTTGCGCTAACTATAACATTGTCTACATCTTTGCGCCAATGGGCACTTGCGGAATGCGTGGAAGGTGTGAAAAGTGCGGAAAAGCACAAGCATAGAGTGCTGCTTCACAAAGTTATTGTTTAGCAAGAAGTGCCTCTTCAATCCAAGCCAGCAGATATATTTAATGGCGCGCTTTTGAGAGCAAAGTTTGCGATTGGAGTGCAACCCTAAAGAATTGAGGGAGGTGATCAGCGATGTCGGATACGAAGAAGAACGCATGAGAAACGGCGAGAAAACCGGGAAAATTGGACCCCTCCTGGATCATTGATTATAGCATTGAAGCGAATCTCATCAGTTCCCTTTCAACGCTAACACTCTCTCTGCTATGCAACTACAGACCTGCGGCGAATGATTCGTGGGCGATGGGCGTACCGCGCCAATAGCGCCGCGGAAAAGGACCCATGCTAGGTCGCCGGATGTATATCCTTCCCGGAAAATTGCATGTCGGTCAGCACTCTTAGGGGTCTACCGCCTTTCCATATGGTGAGTTTTCCCTTCTTCGACCTTCGAAGTTATCGTGGAATGCTCCTTCAACAATCATCGGTTAGCATATGTACTAACGGTTGTCTGACCGCAAGCGGCCACTGCGACCAGTTCGAACGTGAGGTGTAGCATCTGTTGGGCATTCAGTCTTTTCAGCGCCTTCGCTCTAACCAGGAAGGTCTTTCAGGACATGGAGCCCTTTTTGAAAACGGTTTTTTGCATGATAAAGGGGCACATGCATGGAGTACAAAACTAGGCTCCATTTTTTCTGAGCGGCCCTCCTAATGCCAAAAAAGGTATGAAAAATCGGTCGAGGGATCGGTCCCGGCTGATGACAAAATTTTGCATTTCATGTTAGCGCATGTTAATAACTCCAAATGTTACCGCCGATAAAAATAGGTACTGTTCTTACAATCAGGGTCATCATCAACCTTTCTGATTAGCTTTCTGCCCAGAATTGGGGCGAAAATTGTATGGCGCTAAAGCGGCGCCGAGTTGGTGCCCGAGGAGGCTAAAATGGCGCAATATCGCGCCTCCATCAAAAATGGACGTCAGATTCGTAATCAGCGCCTATAATTACCCTTATAGCCGCAGTTTTAGAGAAGATCAAGATTTCGGCCCGAATTCAAAAATTGGGCCATGGGTTAGCCCATAGTCAGTACGGCATGCACACTTCCCACTTGGAGACAGATGATAGCAAGCGGCACGTTTGGTTGATGGTTACCTTCCACCGCAGTTCCTGCCCATGGGGCAATCTGGCATCACTCCTTGATCTCGTCGATGCATGGCGTATGCCTGGGTGGGCACTGGCATACGTCGACGAGCATCCTGGACGTTCCTCAACGCCGGCAATCTGCCTTCAAGGGAAATGGAGTAGGTGTTCCTTGCGAAGAAAATGACAACTTCACTTTTCTGGCGTTCGTTAGATGCAGTTGTGTGATCTGCGCCTGTGATTCAGATGCTTCATTGAGTTTTACCATAACTGCATATAGTTATTTAGTGCTTGTAAACGGAATTTCGTGCACAACTGAAAAACATGGTACTACGAAATATCGCAGAATTGTGGGAGAAAGTTCTTGGAAATGACACCTATAGGCCTTTAAGTTCACGCGCAAGCACATGCAAATGCAAAAAAGTGATAATCGGAAAAATGCAAAAATCCGAGCATGGAGGGGAACCGAACCAACAACTTCGAACAAACCGTGCCAACCAGAGTCCATCACGCTATCCACTCGACCATCCGACCACCGCTGTACGATGAATGTCAACGACTCTGATGAAACTTCCTTGTGCTTTTGAGCACTTATTATATACAATTTTTGGTATTGGCTTTATTCCACGCTGTTTTCAACGTTCAGGTGAAGAAAACCTTCTATTGTGCGTCCACTTAACATAACGAGTGATATAAACCACGTTGAAGGTGTGAAAACTCCGATTTCTGAAGAAATTTTTTTCACTCCTTTTTTGGCATTCAGAGGGCCGCTCAGAAAAAATGGAGCCTAGTTTTGTACTCCATGCATGTGCCCCTTTATCATGCAAAAAACCGTTTTCAAAAAGGGCTCCATGTCCTGAAAGACCTTCCCTGGTTTTAGAGGTCTCGATAAAACCGCACCTCTTCCACATATCATCCCTGGAAGAGCCCACACACGCATCCCCCTCCGCCTTTACCACCCCGCATCATCATGACTGTTTCAACAGTATTTGATTCTGACACCAAATAGACGCACGTAGCCCACTTTTCCCTCCAAAATGACTGTCGAGCAGAAGAAGAAGGCGTGGGGTGGAGAAATATGCCTCAAGGGATGATAGCTTATATAACTTCGTCTTCAATCGTAACCTCAAAAGACTTCACCTACATAATGTCATCGATAGTCTGTTTCGCCATTGTATCAAGCCGAATGATTTCTTGATGAAGCAAATGAGCTTCATTACAGTCAGCGATCAGCAGGTGAGGCATATTTACGGGCAATCCTTTGGAAGAGTAAAAATAAAATGATATTCGCCAGTGAAACTGAAAACAAAGTTGGAATTTTCAGCCAGAAATCGGCAAAAAACCTGGTACTAATGAGTGCAAGGTTCAAAAATGTACAGCGATAATCTCGAATCAAATCGAACGAACAACAATCAAAGTCGAATTTTTACATATTTATTCTACGAAGCATCCTAACTCATCTACACTATCTCTCCACACTATTAACATCAACAAACTAAAGCCAAAATTACGATTTCAGCCGCAACAAGAGGCATTAAGTGAGCAGTGAAGACGAAAGATTCCACAAATACTGGGACTTTGTCAACTTAACGAAACGTGACTAGACAATCTAAATTTATGGATACAGCCCGCCACTTCAATCGTTCAGACGTCGAAGCCAGCATCTCGCATACATTTCTTGTGTGCCTCTATCAATTCTCCACAGTGCTCCTCGCCATGTTCGATTATGCAGTGGTCTCGGGCCTGAAGAACAGGGATGAAAATTCTCGACAATGATTTCAAAAATTATTGAAAAAGATGAAATTGAAGCTGTAACTTCGGAAAGGTCCTTCAGTAAGACACGCGAAACGTTCCTATCTACTATTCTAGCTTCTGGCCTAATTTATCTTACAATGTAACAGCGTAAAGACCACTGATGCATTAAACTCTGCTGGGGTGATGTCAGACTTGGCGACCGTGCGATCGCGACAGCGTCGTAGCCATTCCCTGTAAATGGCCAAGGGGCGTGCCGTTATTGATCCGCATGGTTTACGCTGGGCGCGCTGTCGCGATTGCGCGATCGCCGAGCCTGACATCCACCCGAGAGGAAGGAAAGCCCGTTTGTCATAAGTAGTTTAGTTTTTACCCCCACTTTAGTAGCTGTGTTCCTAGGCTTACGATATCCCCCAATTACTATTCATAAATCCTATGTTTTTCCTCATCAATATCATCCTCTCCCTTATGGGGAACTATTGGCAGCCTTGTGGTCTAGCGCCACGTATGGAGACATTTCGAGATTGAACGACTGCCCACTCCTGAATGATCCCCGAAACGACTCCCTACAGCGATAAATGGGGTCCGTAATGTGGATGAGACTGGTTCTCAGTGACACTCTTCAAAACACCGCTCTCAATATCCAAAACCATGTCAATCGTGTACAGTGAATAACTGCTAAAATGTCAAACTTTTCGGAAATTTCGAGAGCACTTTGTACTTTCCAAAAATCTGCTGCTCCCATGTCTTCCCAAGATGCTCCTCACTTTCTCATTTACGGTCACTTGACCCCTTCACAAAATCACGAAAATACGACCTGCTCCTGCCGAGAAAACCCCAACGGGCGGTTGACTCTACGTGTGTCTTTATTCGGGTCACGCTATTTTTGTATTAACCCTGCACACCATAGTGAAACACTACCACAAAAGTATCGAAAAAAATATCACTGGGATTAATGTTTCACCACAGACAACGAAAACCATACCTTCTTAGTCTCAGGACAAGCACAGCACGGTTTCAGCTTCTTCTCACCATCCGATCCGGACGCCTTTGACTTGCAATCTTTGCTTTCATCCGGCATCTCTTCAATCGAAAAACTGATGTTACTTTATTGCAATTTCAAGATTTAAATTCAAACGTATTTCACAGTTTGAGTCACTGCGGAATCTGTGGAACGCGCGAAAGGTAAATAAGTAGGACTGGAAGAACAGAAGAATCGTGGAATTCGCGGAACCCGCGACATTAACGGAAAGCAGTCATCTGGGAACAAATTTTTAACGTTAACACTAGAAAACCGAGCCGTTACAACAATGGAAGTAGCGTAGGGTAAACCAATGCTTAGGTCCTCGGCTCGCAAGAATCAGGGACCACAAATCGATCAGGGGAAAAGCAGTCGTATTTTGTGAACCTTCGGCGGATTTTCTGAGGGGATGGGAAGAGGATTTACTCACAAGAATATTTTCAAAGAAAATTCAAATTTCAATGTATAGGTTGTTTCAAATCGATATGAAATTGGATATAACCAATTAGAATACAAATACAAATACATGGTTCACTAATAAATATTTATGCACAATTCTCTTACGAAAAAATCCTTACAGAAAAGTTCTTCAGAAAGGTGGAGGAAGATGCCACCGAGAGAGCCACGAACACGGGCTCATGATTAGCAGCGGTGATTGACAAAGATTTGGTAAGATTGAAAAAAAACAGCAAGACCGTTGAAATGACCGGTACTTGCACAAAACTATCAAGATGGAATAAAACGATCGCAAATGAGAAATCGTTAACATAATCAATGACGGATGAGCAAGGTATTCAACGGCTCACACCTAGGATTGGAATTGATGGTAATCATACTGCATTAAATCTAACCCATTAGATGAACCCTAATAAGGATGGAAAGATGAACCAGTAAAAGAGCGCACAAACATAGTTACTTTATGTTTAAAGAGAATCGAGTATTGCATTTAAGAGAAAATGTAGTCGGTTGCTTTTGCTAGGTCCCAGTTGTTGCAACTAAGCACTGAGATCGCTTCATCCTGAAAAAAGAAACGCCTATAAAAAAACCGAATACAAAATTGATTCAGCAGTTTCTGTGGAAATCTGAATATGCGGTGTACATGGTCCACCCACAAATGAGAGCACTGTGGGGAGCCCCTGACTTCTCCCAGTCCTTTGCACGTGCAAAAATGTAATATCTAAAGCTCATCGGTAAAGTTAAGTTCCGAACAAACAAATCACTGAAAAACGCAGGGTGAAAGAACTGCGAGAGAGGTTCCTTGAAGCCAGACTACCATTAGAAATCTTAACATTGACAAACTCCAAAACACCAAGTGTTACTGTAGCTGGGAGAGCGAGTCCAAGCAACTGTACCATGCCAAAAATCCGATAACTATGTGTGAATGACATAAACGAAGGGTGGAGTCATTAAGTGACTACTGATGTCAAGTTAAGTAGAGTTCGAAGAAGAAAAAAATAAAAAAAAAAAAACAAAAGAAAACTTTATTCACATTACCTCGGTAACCCCTGTCTCGAGTTTCTCAAGTGTTATAGTGGGGATTTTCTTCGTTCCCTTTCGAATACTTTTCGTCAGTAGACCTGGCTGTCTCCTGAAAAGGCATTATTCAGATGACATACCAAACTCCATGAATCAAACGTAGGAATTTTGATGAATTGTTCTTCAGCTGTCGAATTTTCGATTAGCAGAAGAAAGATTATTAAGTGAGCACTTGCGCCCGAACTAGGCGACACTCGAAAGAAAGTGGACATGTACAAAATAGCAATGAATCACGAAGGTCAAGCGGAGGTCACAACAATTTTGATTATGTCGCTTGTGAATGAGCATTTTTTCTGGGCCTTTATCTGAAATCAAGACATGTACACCTCTAACTACAGCTGCAGGATTACAGGTAGTCATTTCTCAGAGAAAGGCTGTTCCGAAATTCCACGTTCGCATGTTTCTCTAGAGGAACTACCGGATTGGGGGTTCCCCAAACCGAGGGTCAACCGTCGGGACTTCTATGCTGCGGCGAGTTTATATCTACGTTTTATGGTTCCCTTCCTCCTGTGACACCACCACCGTGGAAGTGACGCGTATGCAACACAATGGTGTTTCAAACAGTAGAAGGGACACAATCATGATATGACGGTAGATTTTTCGCTTCCCTTCCTCATCCTCCCTTCCTCTCTCCACTGCCCTCCAGCTGCCACTGCAGCACCATGTGGAATGAACGGAAGTGTGCTAAGCAGGTGTTTATATAGCCCTGAGAGTGTTATCACAACTATCTACAAAACATGATATCTCAAATCCTGTAAGCTACCCGATTTGTTAGCGGTTTGTTTATCCCATGAGCTTCCTTCTCACTCACTTCATTTTGCGGACGGACACACATACATACATACACACACACACACACACACACATACAGATACACAAACCGACACACAAAGTTAGCGCTTTATATAATAGAAGGATATAAAAATGAAGTCAAACCCCGACGAAAGGCGAGGTATATAAAGATAGGGACAGCGCTGGAGGAAGTTTCAATTTGGGGGTAATTCGTAACGTCGAGCTACGGGACATGTTTAAAACAGATCAGATGAATTATACACTATAGGCTCTGAGAGACTTAACGAGGGGGGGCCTGTTCAGGGCAAAGGTGCCTTTGGTTCAAAACGGTTTTTGGGATAGTGTAGGGACGGTTAGAGAACACCAGCATGTTAGTTTTCGCTGGCGGATGTAGCAGTTACCAAGAAGATAAGGTACTGTTAGATTCGATCCCCGCGGCGAATAGTTCATTTGGAGTTGGGCTACGGTTTTTAGTGCCCAAATCGCGCAAATAGTTATCAGATGTCATTCGTGTCAGGCCATTTTTGCAACACAATGGACCGCGCAACCGGGGTTGCAAATCTAGTCGCGGGGGGGGATTGGAACCATCAAGAGTATAATGACTCTTTTTTTTGGCACTATGAGACGTTCACAAAGAACATGGGTTTTTTATGCCATGACATGTGCCCGCAACATGTTAGCTAAACGCGTTTTCAAAAAAGGCACTTTACTTGAGACTTCTTGTAAGGATATCGAAAATACGACGTGATGAGGACAAAATAATTACCCTTGAGCCGGATTTTTTTGTCAGTAATAAGTTCAACTGCAGTCTGAAACGTAATCTGCGTATGTCTATCTAGTTTGTAGACTCCTAAATTACTGCTACACCTTCTTGAGCACGGAGTTGAGGTGAATCTTTACGACACGTTTCGACAGAATCACTCGAAGTGTTAGAGGTGGTTTTACTGGTAACCGCGTATAGTTATAATAATCCAAACACTGACAAAAGGTGAAAAGAGAATGATCGCTAGCCCCCGTTTAAAGTTGGTTTGAGAATGGCGACGCGTTTTAGGAACTTAGGTCCGTGTGATTACTTCCATAAATTAGCCGCGCATGGCACAAGGGAAGTAAGGAATTGGTTTTAGGCATGGAGTTATGTGAAGGACGAATGATGTGCAATAGCACTTGCAAAGGATTATAAAGGTTGGTTCATCCGGCTATTTCAGCTGACCTTGCTACGTTGAGATAGTGGAGACATAAAAGAATTGATAGTAGATGCAGAAAAACATGTTTCAGGGGGTATCAAGAGGGTCTATTTAGACCTCTTTCAAACGACGATGTTCATATTTCAAATATATGCAACCACAACGACTCCACAGGATTGGCAAAATAGCACCATCGTCTAAAAGCTCCCTTCAGTATTATCAATAATGCCAACCCATCCGTCTAAAAGCCCCACTTCAAGTAATTCAAAAGCCATAAAAATATTCGCACTACATACACCTATAACTAGTGAGATCGATGAGTGCTGAAGAGAAAACAAGGCAGAATCATAGCGCAATAGATACCTGCAATTCTTGCAACTAACAAAGCGAGGCAGCATACACAATACATCAACTTTGCGAAGCTTTACAAATAGCTGTTCTTGAGCTAGCACATTCCCAGAAAAACAGTGACAAATTATTCACTCTATGCTTGTTAAAAGAAACAAAAGTGCATCACTTTTGCGCTTCAAATTGCAACTGAAACGACAGTAGCGCTGCACAATCGCAGGCAAGAAATTTCAAGGCCATCTATACCTTTAGGATGAAAAAACTGAGTGAATAGATGTACATTCGCTCCTTTTAGGCAAAACTGTGGTGCCAAATACAAAACTGTATGATTGTATTTTAAAGTGAAATCATATGAACCTATGCAGATCCCGCTTTCCCTGTTGAAATGCAAAAAAAACCCTTCAGTTCTGTAACGGTTTGAAGGGCGGGTTTATTCCCTACTACTCACAACTCACTCAAATTTCTTTTCCGACGCTCACAAGCAAGGATGGAAGGCGTTGGTGCCATTTCAATGGTAGCCATGAAGCGCTAGCTTGATATAACTAAACGAGTGAAACCAACATCTCGGCGAGAAAAAAGTCCATTTATAAGCTTGGTAGAATATGTTGCTATATGCATGTATGTATGCTATATGAAATATGTAGATTTTTGCTAAAACTAAGCAAGTCAGTCTGCCAAACATCCCCATAATCACAGAGGTTACTTTTTTCTAATCAAACGAGATTCTTGAGTTGCCAAAGGCTCACTACGACTTATTATCCTACGTCCAATAATCTTTAACGGATGGGTCAACACGCAGCGACAATTAAATACGTTTGCATGCGCCTTCGAAACAAGGTTTCCAGTGATGGTGCAGCTGCAGCTCCTTAGCACTTGTAGGAGCACGATTCTTAGGAGAGAACTGAAGTCGACATCAAGAAAAAAAAAACGAAAATTCATATGGAACAGAAAAAAAGCTACCTTGAACAGCCCCGGATTGGACATATATTGTTTGGCTACAACAGCATCCTGCGGATCTTTTGGCTCAGGTGAGCACATGAGCGCTTGTA